CCTTACGTGGCGCCGTCCTGGAAACCTTCCTGCTCATGGGTGCCAGTGACTGGTCAGGGTTTTAGCGCTGAAATCACCAGTCTGGATAATCCCTCAGTCTTGGGCAAACCGAGCCAGTTGGCCCATAACATCTGACATCAGTCCCCAGCCCAGCTGGTGAGACTCTTTTCCTATGACCTGTCACCTTCTTAGATTCCTGTCTATCGTCTCCACAGACTGAACCCCACAGGGCAGGGATCCATAGACTGATGTATGTGTTCCCAGGCAAGCTCAGGGCCAGGCAGAGAGGATGGGGTTGAGTGACTGGGGCAGGGAAGCATCTAGAAGCCTGTTCTGTGAGAACATCTGAGGCTGCTCAGCTTGGAAAGGGCAGAGATTCAAGAAGGAACAGTCATTGTCCTAAAGTGCAGGGCTGCCAGGTCAGCCTGCAGGTCTACCTGCGGAAGGAGTGTCTGACCGATCCGAGAATACCAGCACAGGATTCCTGAGAGGTAAGCTGGCTTTTCCCAGGGGCTGCATGCTCGTCATACAACAAGGTTTTGTTAGATGGGCTTGTTGACCACCATCTCAGAGCCCTGGCCCACCCCACCATCCTACTCCTCCATCCCTCTCCTTCCTACTTGCTGGCTGTGCCCGTAGAGCCAGTGGGGAGGTGGGCACGGAAACTCCTGGACGGCTTTGAGCAGCCACTGCTTGCACAGGAAGACCTGGGCTGCCTTGAGCAGCAGCAGAACCAGGCCGAGCAGGGAGGCCACTTGCAGGAGCCCAGAGATACCGCCCAGGGGTCTGGTGGGGCTCAGCACAGAGGCACTCATGGTGCAGAGGCTTCAGGAGCGCTGACTTCCCTGACTGTTGCTGACCTCCCCTGAGCACCCAGCCCAGGTCAGTCAGGAGAGAATTGTCCCACCCACCTGTGGGGAGGGCAAAGGATGAGGGCAGAGCTTAGACCTGGGCCACCAGAGTTGATTAACTGTGGAGGATCCACCTTAGAAAACAGTGGGAGAAAAGCATTCTCAGCTGACAGTGACAATGGCCGTGTACATACCAACCTTCCACTCATCAGTTTCTTAACCAAATGTTCAGTGTGCACCTACTATGAGCCAGGTGCGATGCTAGGTCCTCGGACACAGCTGCAGGCAGAACAGACATGAACTCTGACTTCAAGGAATTCACAGTCTAGTTTATATATTCCAATTTTGTCCGTTCAGTAGCACTTTTTTGTTACATGATCAAATGGAATTCTCGATTTAATATGTACATCCAGACCCTAATATTAGCCAAATCTTTTAATATTTATTTTTATTCTTATTACAGTACTAACTTTAATTTCCACTAACAACCTCTTTCAAGTACTGGGTGAGAAGGAGAGGAAATGATGTCATTTCTGTTAACTGGATGATGGTGTGGATGAACCGATGCTAATCCAGCAGCCCTTCAAGCACTTTTTTGTAATCAAATTGGAGAGTTTGGCTCTGCAATAGCAATAGCAATAGCAATAGCAATAGCAATAGCATGACTCCTTCTCTATTCAAGCACATGAGAATTCCAACAAATTCTTATACTTAATCTTAATTACGGTGTTTTCCCATGAACAGGTCTACTTTAACTGCAACCGGAAAACCTGCACAATTGGTACTACACCCTTCACTTCCATCATCTATAGAAGGTCTAACACCTTCCATACATTCAGTCCTTCTTCACTGATGAACTAAAGTTGTAGCAGGAGTATTGTTACTAATTCTCTTTTATCCTAAAACAGAAAATAATTATACAATTAAAGCATTTACACTCTGATTGGGAGCCCGTAAACATTGTTTAATGCAACCTGTTCTTAAACACTAAATGATATTTTATTTATTTATTTATTTTTAATTTTTTGTTTATTGCAGTCACATTGGTTTATAACATTGTATAAATTTCAGGTGTACATCATCATACTTCTATTTCTGCATAGATTACATCATGTTCACCACCCAAATACTAATTACAACCCATCACC